AATGATAGTTTGCTTGCGGAAGGCTAAGGCGACTCAAAATATAGGAGAAAGTTCTGCCTGTCGTTGATATTTACCGCCGTGTCAAATTGTCACGAGGGGTGGAACTAAATGTTAGGCCATGGAGTCGCCTTCCTGCTGACTGGCATTCATAATATCAAATCCTTGCTCAGCCTAAGTTGCGGCAAAGCCGACCCCCAGGTAGATCCGGTCATCGGTCATGTAACTTATGACCTTTACGGATAACATTTGGGTTGCTCTCTATCATTAACAATTCACTGACACATAATAGAGTTCTTTGGACCGAGTACCGGCCCTCAGACTAGCCGTCACATTGGTTGTCAGGCCTGTTGCGGAAGGTGCCGATACCTTGATGCATGCCTGAACGTGGATATCCACTATGGGCCAACATAAGCAAGAAATCTTGTTTCTCAGTCATGGGAAGGATGGGAATATCACACGTACAGCGGTGGGTCCCTAGGCAACTCACCTACGAAGTCGATGCAAAGATCGATCTGTTTCTTGCGAACAGACCTCGATGTATTACCCCAGGCTGTGTTTACCCTAGTGTACGGAGTATGATTATTGGTACAGCAGCCTAGAGTTGGATAGAAAGATGAGCTTCAAAAACTGTCCCAGACGAATATGCCTGGGCTAGCTGTCTTGGATTGATGCATGGCTGAAATACCCTAGCGAAAGGTATGGACTGACGACGAAGTGGAACCTGAATGCACCCGTTATAACGTTCCACGTATTCAGATCAGGGCAGCTCGGAATCGTGAATACCCATTTCCTCGATTTAAACCCCGTCGAAATATTATTACTGCCATTATTTGAATCTCCCAGTGACATGGACTTGGGTCGTTCAGTTACCTTCCCTTTCCCCGCTAGCTTGGATCAAAAGGGAAGGATTCACGGGCCGCTGTCCACTATATCACCGAATATAGGATCTTCAGCGGGCCTTGATACTAGCTGCATTTGCCTGCAGCCATCAGAGCTATCATGACTAGGGAATATTCCGTGTTTAGCCTACATTATCTTACTTATTCGTATGGTGTGCGGAAACACATCTATATCCGACCCCGACAAGGGCTACTTCTTCTCTACATGACAAACTATATATTCGAAGCAAGCTAACGCAGGAGCTGACGCAAAGCATGAAGTTGGTGGATCGGATCACCTTTTCACGGCTGAATATGTGATGCATGCAATCCATTATATATTGGAGATATTTATACACAGGGTTCGAAGAAACCAAGCACTCGCATAACGCAGTTATTTAAACATGATTCTGAATGTTATGATTGACGAGGCACAGGACCGAGACAAGTTTATAATAATTATTACAGGGGCATACATTTGAACAAACGGCAAAGAATCCGTATACGGTCAAAACTCGCTTAGAGAGAACGATACCATCTGTCAACATGGAGGACCTCAGTCTACCTGCAAAAACAGCAGTCCAAGATCGTCTCACCCCACAGCATTGGTTGCAGGCCAAGGTGGAGCTGCGCTGTAATGTAACCTGCACTCCTGAAAAATGAAGGATTATCCGCCACAGATATCACGAAAACATGTACTTGCATCAATACTAGTCATGGCTTTATATGGGGCGCGCCCAATGGCCAATGGAGTGAGTTCTCTGAATTGGTAACCACACTGATCTTATATTATATTACTGGAAATCGTGCCCTCAGCAAGAGCAAAAAGAGGATCCCTGACCTTGATCAAAGCTATCAAACCGAATCAGTTCAGTGGGAGTCTCATACAGCAAATATATATACATTTACCAACCCCATGCACTCCCTATACCAGCCCATTGGGAGACATCGTGACCCCCTTGCAGTGTCACATTAAACGGAGAGTCGAGAAAGGAATGCTCCACGCATTTCGAACAACAGGATCAGGCCTGGTAACTAAGAAATATGTGAAGAGCTTCCAATATCCATACCTCATGTCCTATGTGACGCCTACCTGCTAGCATGGATGTATGCAATAAAAAGTTTTCAGCTATGTTAGCCAGCGTGGATTGTCAACCCCTTCAGAGTGATTGCCTTGCAGTCCCTGCCATAGCAGGGCCTCTTGAATACGTGCACCACGGGGAGAACGGGTAGTCCCGAATCTGGGAGATTCGATACCCGCCCTATTCGTCCCAGAACAAGGGTTCTTCATGCATAAGCAGGATTAGTACGTTTGACGGGAATGGACAAGCATCCCAAATCGAGAGATTCTTCCGAGCTCGGATTCTACCCGTAACACTTGGTAACCCTAAATTTCTATTCGTTTTCTGTCGTATTAATTGCAGGCCATGCAGCTGCGAAGGAACAGAACGACCTGCTGTATTATTATTATTGCATGCTGACACCGGAGACATGGATTAGCGGTGTGCTAGTGCGAAGTTTGTCTCCTTGTCAGCGATCAGGGGTTGTTTACAGGGCAAGGTCAACATCAGCGCTGGTCGTGAAGAATCGCTTCGTTGGGAGCAGTTTTCGTGCTACGGGGCACAGAAACGAGCGTACATATATGGACAGCTATCCTTTGGAGAAGCGAGGTTATTTGTAGTCAGGATTTTTATTATGTTAGACGTTTCAGTTATCTTTAACTCATATCAAGGTAATGATGATACCAGGTGACGCTGATTATCATCACACATCAATGCATGGCCCCAAATTCAGGGATGCTTATTCTGTGTTGGTGTATCAGCCTAGGGTAAAAGCAGCGCAGGATGGGGGGGGGGGGGGCGATTATAGGGATAAGATTTAGGGAAGTCAAACGCCAGCTTTGTCGGACAACGTGTGAGAGAGAGGACATTTGAAATCACAGTCCCTTCTTTCCAGATTCCCTCTCCCTCTTTTTAAGAGCTCGCTTACGAATAGACTCATGCATCGATTTGTTAAAGCCTATGACTGTCTTACTTATAGGCCCAAGGAAGGTGACAATGCTCCAGGCCATCAGGGCGTGGCTCCAGTATGGAACGGAGGTGTAAGCATAGGAGAAGAGCCCCCCACTTCGCCCAACATGGCCGAGGGTAGCACGGACGAAATCTCTTGGATTTGGGATAGTCATGCTGGTTTTTCTGATCTTAGACATGGCGGAGGTGACGAGGTAACTTTGGGTGAGTTGAACAGTGATCCCGTAAGGTTCTAACTCGGAACCCAAAGAGCTTGACCATTGTTGGAGGAATGCCTTGCTTCCCGAGTACGTAGCGAGCAGAGGAGTTGGGAAAAGGCCACCGAAGGATCCCATTGTCAAAATCAGCCCACGCTTCCGCTCCATCATGCCTGGCGCAACCAACTGAGTGACCCGCAGCGTACCAAGGCAGTTGATAGTGATGATATCCTCCATCTCTTCCGGGTCAGTAAGAACGAATGGGACCGGGATGGAGTGGCTGAGTCCGACGTTGTTGATAAGAATGGAAATGTCCATTCCCTTGATAACTTTCTTTAACTTCTCGTAATCGTCATCGTCGTTATGGGAAAAGTCCATGGCCATAGTCTTGGTTTGGACGGAGGCATTCTTCTCGCAGATCTCTCCGGCTACCGCGGCAAGCTTGTCGGCTGACCGCGAAACAAGTAAGATATTAAACCCAGCGCGCGCCAGCTGGTGGGCGTATTCTTTGCCAATCCCATCAGACGCGCCGGTAACCAGGGCCCAGCTGCCCTTGGGGCCGAACGAACGCAGCTATAGGTACAAAACCACTGGTCAGCGCACTGCGCACAAAGAATAGGCTCGAGAAGGTCAAAGAAACTATCGTACCGGCTTCCCTGGAAGCACGAAGATGCTGAAGAAAGCTCGCAAGACGCCAAAGAGCTGCGAGGCAAGGAAGAGACCTCCAACCGCAGCAACAAAGGTAGACGCAATTGACGCCCACCCGGCCGGTGGCTCAAAGCGGAAATTATGAATTGTCTCACACAGGGTCATGTTGGCTGCCCGCTATGCGCTATGCTCCCTCTCTCCCGGTGTTGTCTGTAGGATCGGATGCTGTCGAGGCTGTCAAGCTGGGGAGACGCGGCGTTCGGTTGACTTTTGGCAGGCTCAGGTCTGCTAGTTAAACGAATAATTATTTACTTGCACACGCCAAGGCTGCGCGACTCAACCAGCCTGCCAGCCCCCTTTTTCTACTTTGCCAACGCCAGCTGCAGATTTGATAACAGTCTATATTCCGTGAAAGAGAGGCCGAAGAAGAGCCGAGTCGTATAAGCGGCACTCAATTCAGGTTTACATTTGGCTAGGATGGACGCAATTGCTGCTTACCTCCCTCAACACGCGGGATTCCTGCCCAAGTGGCTTCTCTTTGTAAGAAGGACCTTACGCAGGACAATAGCAGTATAAAAAGAGAAGAACTCAAGCTAATACGTTCCATTGCATCTGCAGGTCTCGGTCGTATCGTCTCTAAATACCTTCCAGGCATTCGCCAGCCCTGCCTATACCGGCCAGCTCTACTCAGCGGCCCCTGTGACACCTCTATCCTCGCGCAAATTCGGAACATGGACGTTCTTATCCTCTGTTATTCGCATGTACGCCGCATATTACGTGTCTAATCCCCAAGTTTACGATCTTGCCATGTGGACTTATGGAATTGCTCTGGCCCATTTTGCCAGTGAATGGCTGATTTTCGGCAGTGCAAAGGCACAGGGGAGGTTCATCAGCCCTTTGATCGTAGCCAGTTGCAGTTTGACATGGATGTTCACCCAGAGAAGCTGGTATCTGAATCTGTGAAGCCCGCTCATTAGAAAACAAAGGACGAAGAAGAAATAACTAATAGAGACACTGGTATTTTTTTTCATGGAATGTTTGCATGACACGGTACGGCAATTGATTGTTGCCTTGGCTTGTGTTGACTGTATTCTAACTCTGGTTCCAAAAGCCAGCTAGTTGAATCTACAAAAAAAGGGGCTTTTCTCTGGATGAATTCCTACCGATGGCTCAATATTAAATCTTCAATGATATATCCTATATACCAGTCAATACCAGTCAAGAAGGTAATATCCTGGGGTCAAGAGTTAGAGCTTCTTTCTATACAGCTCTCCTGCGCAGTCTCTTAGCCTTGCTGCAGCCTGCTCTGGCGTAATGTCACGTTGAGGTTCTGCAAGCAATTCATACCTAAAGTAAGAGTGAATGTTAGCTTTTAACTCCTTTCTGGCTGGAAACAGGCAAGCAGAGAATCCGGTATGCTGACCCTACTAAGAACTTCTTAACGGTAGCGCTCCTCAGTAGCGGTGGGTAAAAGTGAAGGTGAAGGTATGAGCAGGCAATCTCCTCCTCCGTACCGTCCAGCGGAGCCTGGTGAATACCCATACTATACGGGAAATGGGTTTTGAAGAGATTATCATATCGACGGGTTAATTCAGCAATTGCCTCCGCTAGATGCTCTTTTTCTTCTTGGTTCAAATCTATCAATGCCCTTTTATGTTGTTTGCTTACGATCATCGTCTCAAAGGGCCATACGGCCCACCAGGGACAGAGGACTAGGAAAGTGTTATTTTCAAACACTATTCGCTCCTTCTTTTCCATCTCGAGCGAGGCATAGTCTTCGAGCATATGGCTGCCTTCGTGCTCCTTGCAGTATCTCAACATCTGCAAGAGCTCCTTTGAGGGTTCTTCGGGCAGGGTGCTAGTTGTCCATATTTGACCATGCGGATGAGGATTGGAGCACCCCATTGTTGCTCCCTTATTTTCGAATATTTGCATATATCTATATTGTTCCCTCGGACTAGATATTTGCCTTGCTGGTGAGTCGGTTGAAATCCCCGCAATTGCATCCGATTTGTACAGGCATGATTTTGGTGACAGATGAAGTGCGTAAATATCCGTCCAAACCTCTATGATAGGGACAATCTCCTGCGGCAAGAGGTCTGCAAGTGTGAGATTGTGTTTGGCAGAGAATGTCAAGACATAGCATCTGCCCTTGACTGGCTGGGCTTGGAGAAACCGTGTTGATGATAGGGATGCTACTGATTTATTTAGCAACAAAATGCACGCTATACAGACACCAATGGTATCAATGGTATGAATACAGTCTTCAAACTGACCTTTATCGTCCGTCTCATAGCCTGCCTGGCTCTCCTTAACAGCGCTATAGTCGTTAACAAAGACAAAGACCTTATCGTACTGCGGATTTCGGTCGCCTTGCGCTCGCTTGTTTCCAGGGCATAAGTAACAGTTTTCATCGTACTCCGGAAGCGTAGACTTGGTTGGTGCTTCTTCTTGACCCCTATTACACGGTGATTGTCAGAAAACAAGACGCTCTTGTCCGTTTTCAATGCCTATCAAATTGACTTACTGCCATGGTCTTTTCGTCCGATGTGGGGAGACGAGAACATGCGAGTCGGTAAGTGGGTTGTATCTCCGATGCGATATGTCGTCTAGCACCGAACTAACCATCTTTTCGTCCAGCTATCTTCTTTTCTCTGTTTGCTTGCTGAGTTTCTCAATGCTCGATGCCGTGGAGACGTTTGCGGGAGGTTAAAAAATTAGAGGCTGCTCAACCCCCACTGGTTATAACGTCATAACTACTTCACCTACCTAAACGGTGTTTATTCCAAGGCCCCCTTAAAAAAACAACAGCATGTCAACGACGACATGCCAAAGAGCTTGAAGACTGGGAGCTGCATTACATAGTGACATTTTGTGTTACCCTTCTTATCTTAGATTGCGTCTCGATCCATGATTCTCATGTCAGTTGCATGGTCATAAAAGCATGTCAACCGGCCCAGGTTCCAAGGACCTTCTCCTCAGAATCAGGCTCACGAAGCCTGGAATGATCTATTAACACTTTAGATTGCTCTATGAGCTGATGATACCCTATTCCCTGGCCTTAAGAGGAAAAAATACCACCTCCAGCTGACTCTTGATGGCCTGATTCATGGGACCATCCACGCAAGCTGAAATACGATCGATATTTGCCCGACTAAATAAAGCATATAAGAGTGACATATAGCAAAGAGCTAGGTGATATAACAATAGCAGCTCTGATTTACCATATTAGTTGCTGCAAGACATCACAGTCTTGCCCCAGTACTCGTCACGTACGCCCATACCCATGGAGCTGCTTTACCAACAAGACATAAAGGTGGACCAAAGGTGGACAAGGGTCAGGACAAAGTCATATTCCTTGCACTAAGATAAGACACATTCGCAGCATACTGAGTGTTTCGAGTGACCGACAGGAAACAAACCCGGGTTCATGATCAATTGATCACAGCAGCTCGAAAGGAGATTACTGAACACTTTCTCTAATAGCTTCAGGGGATGACCCTTGGAGGGAATACCACCATCCCCTCTATATATGCAGTGAATCATGTGTGTATCTGCATGAAACTTTACGATATGCAATTATGTCACTGTTATGCAGTACAAGGAAGGGCCTAGCCCTAGCCGTCCGGATATCTTGCATTGCCTTTTCCCGTGGTGACCTAAGGTTGCATCAAACAGGCACACACCACAGCTGAGATTGGTTCATGCCAGCTGTCAACAAGAGGTCTCGCACCAACGCAAACGCGAAATGATGACTGGAAACACAACTCTCCGCGCTACCAACTCCTTCCACTCTCACTCCTTCCACTCTCCAGCAGACTCCTATTAATAGGCGGATGCACAGCTACTACGATTCAGCCGCGCGGGGCTGGACAAGCTTAAGCGACCGTTTACTGCGTACCCGTAGTGGTTCAAAGTCAATTACGGCGGTGTTAATGAATGGGATGCTCGGAGTTGTCAGTTTTAACTACTGGTCAATGCCAGAAAACAAGCAACCATGGACCCCTGCACATCCGTCAAGTTAAGCGAAGACTAATCAACACATCTATCGATATCTATTATTGACTGCGTGTATGCACGTATTTAGGTGATCATGTCCATGCTGGTCCCTCATGGATTTCCACCTCCGCCATTGTTAAATTGACCAAATCGCTGCAAATAGATCATGCAGATTCCTCCACCAGTATTATCCGGCGAATTACCAACCAGTGCAGAGAGTACAGAAAGAGTATGAGGAAAGAAAATAAGAAACAGAGTTTGGTAGGATCCTCGTCGAAAAGGGGACCAGGCCTTGTCAGCTATACGCATCTGGATCCTGGTATAACGTGCTGTTTAATGCTTCTCTATCCCTGCTTGATCCGTTTAGGGAATATGCAGAGAGTAGTTTGATTCGACGACGTGCAAAGAACCAAGGATATGTGCACAATAACACGAAGAGGGAAGAGTCCTACTTTACAATAAGTCCTTCTTTACATTATCTTCAGGTGCTGGGCTCGGAAGGCTTCTTTGGACATTATTTTTTTCCTTGCAGCGCAGTGAGTGTATAGGGGGATGGAGAGCCAAAAATATTAAAAAAAAAAAAAAAAAAAAAACAAAAAAAAAAAGGAAAAAGAAAGAAGAAA